GTACATACAAATGATAGCATAGATAAATATTTATTGGTACATGTCTATACCTGGGTTAATATACTCATCTCCTTGCTCTGTGAACTGAGAAGATTTAGAAGCAACTGTACCCCAGCAGCAACTGAGTACTCTCAACATCCAGGTCTTAGTTTCTAGTATCATTCTCCAATTCCCTCCCCAAAGAGGGCTCTTTGCAAGGAAAAGCTGATTTTAGGACAGTAACAGGGAATGTGAAAGGTGATCCTGAAGCATATTGTACAGAACCCAAATAAGAAAGTGAGTGCATAGGATGGTGGCATGTCAAAGGGACAAAGGTTTCAACTAAAGGGGCTCCTAAGGGCCAAAGCATCTGAGCAACAAAATAAATCAGGTGATTATGTATTATAAACCAAAGTATAAAATTTCTGAGTCCTTACTGATATACATAAATGATTGAATAAGTAGATGAAGATGGAAGAATAGATATATGCCCTATGCAGATAGATTCCAAATAATTTATGCAGATACTCTCCCTTCAAAGATGTGAGGGCACAATTCCTTACTCCTTAAGTGTACACTGAAGGGAATTACTGCTAGAGTATAGCACCCCATTGTTCACAGCAGCACAATTTACTATAGCCAAGTACTGGAAGCAATCAAAGCACCTATCAGTAAATGAGTGGATCAAAAACTGTGGTACATTTACATGATGGAATACTATGAAAGAAAGAAGAAGCTCCTATCCTTTGCAATAGCATGGGTGGAACAGGAGAGCATTATGCTGAGTGAAATAAGCCAGGCAGTGAGGCACAAATACCATATGATCTCACCTTTAAGTGGAACCTAATCAACAAAAGCAACGAGCCAGCAACATAGAACCAGAGACATGGAAATAAAGAAAAAATTGACAGTAACCAGAGGGGAGAGGGGAGGGGATAATGGGGGGATGGGAAGGGTTTTCAGGAACATCTATAAAGGACACATGGACAAAACCAAAGGGGGTGGGATCCGGGAAGGGAGTTGGGGATGGCTGGGGTGGGGGGCGAGTGGTGGCAGGAAAATGGAGACAACTATACTTTAACAACAATTTTTAAAAAAGAAAGAGTACAGTTTGGTAAATGGGGAAAAAGAATAACTTTCCAATGGCACAACCTGACAAACACTGCCTCAGGTGATGTTCAACATCAGCAGTGATCTGCACTGTTGAGGGGATGACTTATTGTGGTTTTACCTGTGTGGTCTTCTGAGAATACGTGCCCCAAGCCTAATAGTGAGTAAAACACCAAACAAATCACAATTCTAGGATGTTCTACAGACTCTCTAGGCTGTACTCTTCAAAGGTGTCAGGATCATCAAAAGCAGGGAAAGTCAAAAAACAGAGCCAAAGGAGCCTGAGGAAACAGGACACCTAAATGTGATCAGGTATCCATCTGGGATCTAGGAACAGAGGGGACATTAGGTAAACACTACAGAAATCTGAATAAAGTATGGATTTAGGTAATAATAATGTATCAGTATCAGTTCATTGATAGTAACAAATGCACCATGCTAATGGTAGTTGTTAATAATAGGGGAAACTTGTTGTGGGGTATAGAGAATCCCTATTTTTGTTTTTTTCTATAAATATAACACTGTTCTAAAATAAAATGTTTCTTAACAAATATATTGGCCTTGATTCTGAGTAGCTCATGTTCTTGTGGACAAACAGGAATGTCAACAAATAGTTCTAATGTGATATGCTAAGCACTGCAATAAGAATTCTAAAAATACTCTGGAGGCATGAGACACTACAGGCCTCAAAACAGAGGAAATATTTTAGCTGTGTCTTGGAAAAAGGGTAAGAATGTAAATGGTAATTGAAGCAAAAGAACAGAAAGAGTAAGAGCCAGCCTTGTGCCAAGTGGGGAGAAAGCTCCAAGTGGGGAGAAACCTCCAGCATGAAGAAGGCTGTGGCCACAGAGGACTTGGAAGTCGTATAAACTTCAGTGTGGCTGAGGCTTAGAGAAGAGGGTGCAGGATGTAGATGATGCTGAAATATCTTAATTTTTTAATACTTTAAAATGTTTAAAGTATACCAAAAGTGCTGAGCAGGTTTATCATTTTCAGTAAGTAAATAGACACATACACTTGAGAGTAAAATGACCATAAACTCACAATTATCAACAACTGAACATAAAAAAAATGAACTAAGCAAACAATTAGAATAGGAACAGAATCATAAAAATGGATATCACATGGAGGGTTATCAGTGGGGAGAGGGAGGGGGAATGGGGGAAAAGGTGCAAGGAATAAGAAGCATAGTTGGTAGGGACAAAATAGACAGGGGAGGTTAAGAATAGTGTAGAAAATGGAGAAGCCAAGGAACTTATATGTACGACTCATGGACATGACTAAGAGTGAGGGATGCTGGTGGAGGGTGGTGCAAGGCAGAGGGGAATAAAGGGGAGAAAAAAATGGGACAACTGTAAGAGCATAATCAATAAAATATATTAAAATAAATAAATAAGTGAAGGATTTGCCATAAACTCACACCATATTGCCTGCACATTTAGCCATTTTATCCAGGAATGTCTTTTTCACTTCATATATAGGATTTCTTCTTTTGCATTTTAAAGCAACATTCTAACACACTTCAAAATCTTTGTTTATTATCAGCTACTATGGAAAATCCACTAAAACTAAATGATATCATGTTTTGCATATTATTTACATTAAGTATAATATGATCACAATGGGCAGAAAACCAAGTCACAAAACAGTGGCTAATTATCAGGAGAACCGCCCATCTTTGTTGCTTTACTGAGAAATACAATGTGTGTTATGAGAATTGTTCTTTAGTTTGGCGACAGGTAAAGTAAATGTGTCCGTTATAGTGTCACATCATTAACAGCAGTGTTAGACATAAGTATAAGTGTTAGACAAGACATCTTGTCAATAGATTTGTTAATACTTAAAATGCATTCCAATGATTCTATTTTAATTCTAGGGCATGAAACTCTCCCACTCACCCCAAATTTTCTATATAGTCAAACACTGCTTTTTTTACTTATTTGTTCAAATCAATGTCACCAGTAATGCTAGTTAAGTTAGAGGTGTTCATGATAATGAGTGGAATGAAAGCTTTACTTAACTTCCTCCTGGATATTAAGAAATAACTATTCCTCCTTTTCATATAAAAAGATATTTTGGGAGGAATTAAGTTAGAAAAGTATAGTAGCTCTGGGTAGCATCTAGGAGAAAATGATTCTATTACTGGTTATACAAAATAGCCTTATTTAAGTTGTCTTCCCATTGGGGGACAACTTAATGGTTTTTAGTCTCCAGGAGATTGTTTTTCCATCTCCTTTTACTAGATAGTGATTTAGTATCTCAGTATTGCTAGAAAGTGGAAAGATGTCTTTACTACATCTTACCCCATACTCCAAAGTGTAAAGACTAAAAATAAATTCTACTTTCTTTTCAAAATATATGTTTTTTCATTATATTTTTAACTTCTGTGTCTCAATATGTACTCCTTGGAAAAAGTACTTCAGTATAGAGTGAGAAAAAAATAATAAAAATCCAACATCTATTTCAAAGAAAACCCAAGTGCATACAGGTATATTTTTCACTGTTCCATTAAACATATAGGGAGGTAAAGTGATTATGTGTTCATTTTAATTTTTTACAGACACCTATTACACACAGCAGAACTAAAATCCAAACTAGAGTATGGTATACATGTGTATACCATAGGTACATAATACAAGATTGAATGTGGGTTTATTATTCTAGTGCATCATATATTGCAAGAATAAGTTATTTACTGGGTCTAATATTTATGAAAGGCATTACCATTACCAAAAAGTACCTTATTTACTTAATTACTATGATTCACCAAATAAACTTCATAAAACCAGATTTAGTTTTTAAGTCAAAATATATCACAAGTACAGATATAAAGAAAAGATGATTATTATAAGATAAAGGAAACTACTACAAAATACTTGTCATGAGCCAGAAAAAGATTTTATGTGAGTCAACAATCAAAAATCTCTTTGAAGTAATTGATACCCTTTTGTACTTTTTAATATGTTTCATACATATGATTGTATAAGAGGTCACCAAGAAGAATCTCTCAAACAGATAAGAACAATGTCTTTAACTTCCTAATATTGCACTTGTTTTTTTTTTTCCCTTTTGCCCTTGAAAGCACTTTTAGATGAGTACACTATATATAGAAAAGGGGGTGAACACAATACTTTGCATGATGTAAAAATGACCAAAATGATACACATTCAGATACCATTCTGTATTTTTCAAATTAATTTTAATATTACTTTACCTCATTTGATCTTTGCCAAAACTCCTTGGAGTATACAATGTAAATGCTATCATCACCATTTATATGTGAGGAAACTGATATTCTGAAGACTGTAGTGGCTCAAAGAAGGTCATGTGACTAGGGAGGCACAGATCTATTGATTATAGACAGTGTTGTGATTTTTGCTCTTCTGACCTTCTAACTTAGCAACCAAATAGGAGATGACTCCATGTATTGTATCTCATGTAATTATGCACTACTGTACCTGAAATTGTTATTTTCAAGTTCATGGGAACACATACATTAGAACTGTGAGCAATAAACAGAAAAGCACTTTTTCTAATTTGGAGCAAGACAGGAAGACAAAGGTAGATTTCATATATTCCATCTCACACTCTAGAATGTTTCTGAAAATGATACCATTACAAAATGTAAGCATCATTTACTGAAATTACAAACTAATTATTTCAAGTATTTTCAAAAGCTAATAGTTCTATAATTCCATAAGCATATTTTCTTTAATATTTAAAATGCATTGAAGTGCAAGATGATTTAAAAGCAAGGAAGAATAAATTTCACCTATAGGAATCCACTTAGTATTTGGTTAAGTACTTCTTTCACTGCATAGATTTTTAAAAAAATCAACATGCAACACAAAAACAAAACTTCAGATGGTAGTTGCATTACTTGAAAATGAAATCTTAAAAACTGGGCTTACCTGTAACAGTTAGTTCAGTGGTTCTTCGCACAACGAAGCCTCCATATTTTAATTCACATGTGTAATTTCCAATGTCATCTTCTCGTACTTCTCTTATAAGCAGGGTGTCTCTTTTGAATACAATACTGGGCCTCCATGATTTTGTCCTACATTCCTGCATAAAGAAATTTTTGTGGTGTATATATAGATATAGATGTATATAATTTATATGTTTTATAAATATGTGGTGTTATATATATTATATAATATTCATATTTCTATATTACTTGTGCAGCAACTAAAGATAAAGTATTTAAAATAATTAAACTAAAGGCTTCTAAAATTATATTTCAAAGGGGTTAAATAATTTGGAATTAATACTAAAGATTTTCATACCTTCTCCACATCTCTGGGAAATTACATACCTCAATTTTTTTAAGTATTTTTAGCAAGAGTTGCTTTATTAACTTCTAAGATTAGCATCTCTAAATGAGATAAATATTAATTTGTTAGATATAAAAAGGGACATTTGTTAAGATAACTTCTGACGTTATTTCTTAGAAGCAAATACTCCACATTTGATAACTGAGAAATTAAACACCTTGATATTGATAACATAAAAAACAAAAAGAATACATTTAGTGGAATTCAGAAAAACATAATTCTCTAGATGAAAATGCTTCAATTTCAATATGTTAAACATTTGACTATTTTAGGAATAGTTGAATCTCTTCAGAACATGTGCATTGTATAATCCATGAAGTAAATAGGTAATATTTATATGAAAGGTCTTTATAGCTCCATCAATGTTTATTTTCATAGTTTGTAGGTCTACCAAAATGTGGTCCCCAACGACATTAAGCTTTGGATTGTAATGATGCTGGCTCAGGAGATTTCTGTTTTTGCCAAAACAGAAGTCTACTTCCTCTGTCCAGATTCACAATCAATGGAATGAGGATAAAATAGCTTTAAAACCCTTTGACACTATTCAGAGGTAATATTAGTTCTAAAAAGAAGTTTATTGCTAAATCAAATTTTTGCAGACCATTATTTTGATTATGTGGCTCAATGCCTTTGTATAATTGGGGGACTATTATGCAGTTATTTCAGACCAAAATATACACTTTATATCCTCACATTAGTTGCACAGAGTGTGAAAACTGCTTAAATTGTGCTCTGAAGGTATGGAACACATATCCCTGTGGCTATGGGAAAATAATCTGAAATTCTGCATAGACTGCATCTCCACCCATCACTCCACTAGTTATGGACTTTGAAGCTTAAGGTGACAATGATCGGGGAGATAGTGGAAACATGATGAGGATCCAATGTGGGGCCAGATATTTATAAATCTGAGTGTATGAGTGTGTATGCATGCACATAGTTTCTAAGGTTTCAGCAAATGAGCAAACAGCAAAGAAGTTGCCTATCTAGAAGCTGCACATACACATATAGGTACTGAAAAGCACTTGTTTGTGGAGACTTTGGGTCAAACTCCTGAAATACCTGTGCCCTTCAGAACCGTCATCAGGACTTGCTCCGAATCTGCCTGTGGAAAGCAGGCAGACCACAGAGAGTGAGGTTGATAGATTCTCATATGACTTTAAAAGATAAAAATAAAACTCATCTGCACAGGAACAGAAATCAGTGGGGCTCATATTTGAGGGCTGTTTAACATGGTCTAGGATGAGCATTCAAGAAAAAAGTTGACAAAAATTTTAAACATTCCCTTGCTGTTCTATATCCTCCATTGCTTATTATCAAGGGTCATAATTAAGTCTTATTAACCAAAGAATGTACATACATAACGCATAGCCCAAGAAAAAAGACAACAATGTGGTGAAGAGGGTGGGGGCTGGGTGGAGGGGGCAAAGCGGAAAGGGGGACATCTGTAATAATTTCAGCAATTAAAAAAATAAAAACATACAATTAAAAAAAAGGTCTTACTCAGAGAAAGACATTGCTAACTTCGGCAAAATTCTTAAAAAATTGTTCAAGATTTGTTTCCTGTTTTATTTGTAACAAGTTTTGAATTCATGATTAATCAATCTTGGTGGCTCATGTTCTGAATACTGACATTAGTGGATCTAGTTACTAAGAAGTCCAGCTTCCTAAATTCCTAATCCAGGGAGTTAGACAATGCAAATATTACACTGGGAATCTTTAAGCCATGGATAAAATATTCCTGACTAATGTTCATAGCACCTATATTGTATAGCCTGGAATACGTTCCATAACAAAAATATCTTTTATGATACAGAAATGATCTGAAGCGGATGTTCAAATGTTGAAATTCAATCAAAGTCAATGATGTGCTAAGATGGGCAGGGTTGGTTTAGTCTGTTTAAGTCTGAAGTTGTTTTTGCTTTTTGAGAAAAGTTAATCTATCACTATTTTTATAATGCTATAAATTTTCATCAGATGTCATTTCAAAAATACACATGCTTGAATATGAAAAGGACTAGGATATGCACACAGACACTTCCATTAAACAAAACATTTCAATAAACCAACTGTACCATTTTATCACACAAGCAAATAAGCCTTCCTCTCCTTGTTTGGGGACATTTTGAACTGCTTACATGAAGAGCTCTGAAGTGAATTTTAGTTTGAGTTCCTGAAATTATCAATGCAGATTATAATAAACTTGAAGGCACTGTAGGTATAAGCTATATATAAATATAAATACAACAGCTTATTACAATGAACTACCAATACAAATATTAATTAACATTTATCAAAGCCGCTGGTTTTAAGACTTAAAATGACCAGCACAACTTGCTGTAGTATTTTAGGAAGGCAGAGGTAAACTGTATCACACCCATTAACAATTCCTCTCCAACTTGCCCAAGAGTAAGACATTCATCTATGTAGAAGCCATAAAATTATTCACAGTCCGTACCTTATACCATAGGATTTCAGGTTCTCTGGTTGGTAGTAAAAAATCTTCTATGTCACGGCATGAAATTTCCTTGCTTTTGCTAAGTTCAGCTTTATCAAAGTACTTCATCTTGGAATTGTAGCAGAGTCCGGTGTCATTTTCACCCACTGTCAGCGAGATGGATACTTTCATACAGTAAGTGGAGTTCCTGTAAGGAAGCAGAATAAATATGGTAGCCTGAGCCTGGCATGAACCAAAAGCAAGTGCTGCCAAGGCAGTGTGTTGAGAGAGAGAGAAGAGAAGAGAGAGAGGATAGAGAGGATAGAGAGAGAGAGAGAGAGAGAGAGCATTGATTAATTAATGTTACAGCATTGGGCCTTATTCCTCAGGGCTCTCTGTTGTCACCCAGCTAAATGATGCTTGGTTCTGTGAAACCATTTGCATACTTTTCATTTGCTTGAAAAAAATTTTTTTGTATTATATACGGTCTTGGCTTGAAAAAAACGTTCAACAGAAATTTTGTATGCAGAAAAGTAAAAAGAATAAAGGAAATTTAGGTCACGGAAATGAGAAGCCTGAGTTTATGCTAAAATTGGCAATTTCAACAGAGAAGTAGAAAAATATAACTGACCTATTAAGCATAATGGAAGGACAGGAATAAGGGTGCTCAAATCTTACAGTATTGGTTGTCTTGAAGAGAGGTTATCACCCTGCCTGGTGTGGCTCAGTGGATTGAGCACCAGCCTGTGAACCACAGGATCACCAGTTCGATTCCCAGTCAGGGCACATGCCTGGGTTGCAGGCCAAATCCCCAGTAGGGGGCATGCGAGAGGCAACCACACATTGATATTTCTTTTCCCTCTCTTTCTCCCTGCCTTCCCCTGTCTAAAAATAAATAAATAGAATCTTTAAAAAATAAGACAGGTTACCAATGAGTCTGGGCAGAAAAGAGTCTAGGATAAATGCATCACAAAGTCACTATTTTTACAGATCCACATCCATTTGGGTTGGAACCTGCAGTCCAGGTTGTCAGATAGGAGAAACATTCTAATGTATTATATAAGGACAACCCAATCCAGACAGATTCTACAGAATCATTTCTTTAAATTAGTGTCCCATGTTACTCCTTGCTGATTTCCCAGAATAGGTTTATAACTTAGAATACACAAGAAGAAAAATCACATTCAGAGATCTCTTTGAAAGAGTTGGGACCAAATGAAGTTTTCTAATCAATTGCACCATTTCTGTTTGGTACTTATGTCTCTGGGCATTCTATGAACACTGATAATGTGTCATGCATGGCGCCACACAGTGAGGATAAGGAGAAAATTAAAACACCAGATTCAAGGTTCTGTAGACAACTTGTCATTTGGCAAGCACCCAATGACTTATTTGTGTACTTGGCCACCAACTTCTGGCATTTGAGTTTCATTGCTTACTATCTCGGCAACTTCGGGCAACTTGTTTAACCACCCTAAACCTCTCAGGTTAATTGCAAGGGCAACCCTCGTCTAAGTACTAATTGTGATTCGAAGTAAAAACCTGTTTGGTCTGCCACCAGAGCTCAGAGGTGTGGGTTCCTCTCCACTCTGCATTGGTGAACAGGAACCATAGTCTGCAAGTCCTCCTCCTTATTTAGCCAAGATGCTTTGGTGTTTAAGCAGCAACTTGACTTCCATTCTTACTGTTTTTCATGCTAATATGGCATGATGAGAATGGCCAGAACATAGTTGTGGTATAATAAAAAAATGCACATTTGACCTTTGTCCCAGGTTTCTGACACAGATCTCCTAAAACTCTTAGAATTTCCAGAGTGACAAAAATGTCTTTCGTTATTCCTAAGGAGCACCTTTTGATCACTACTGGGTTTACGCTAATTAGCTGACATCAGAGCCCCTACCTAGCCTCAGGATGTGGCTGGTTTTCAGAAAGACCAAGTGATCAGAGGGTTGTATCTTTCAGCCCCACCCACAGACCTTAAGCTAAGAGGACAGGTGCTAGAGATTAAGCTCTGAAAAACTTGTGAACAAAATGATCTAATGATCTTCCAGGTTGGGGAACACAGGGAGAGGCTGGGAGGGCGGCGCTCCGGGAGAGGGCATGGAAGCTCTGTCTCTCCCCTCCTGTACCTTGCCCTACACATCTCTTCCATTTGGCTGTTCATTTGTGTTTACTGAAATGCCCTTTGTAAGAAATCACCAACAGTAAGTAAACTTTTCCTGAGTTCTGTGAGCCAGTCATTCTAGCAAATGACTAAATCCCAGGAGGGGGGTTTGGGAATCTCTGATTTGTGGCTGGTCAGTAAGAAGCATAGGTGACAACCTGGACTTGCAATTGGCTTGAGAATTGTAGGGACGATCATGTGGAATTGAGCTGTTAACCTGTAGGAACTGATGCGAATGCCAGGTAGATAGTGTTAGAACCAAGCTGAACTGCAGGGCCATCCAGTCAGCATTGCAGAATTTCTTGGTGAGGGAAAGACCGCATGTATCTGGTGTTAGAAGTGTTGAGAATAGAAGAGGAAAAACCCAGTTTTCCTTCCCAGTAAAGCATTTAGCTTTATATTGGGAAACAAAGAAATTTTTCACAAAATTAGAATTTAAAACAATTCAAAGTCGATTTTTCCAACTTTGCGTAATAGGTAGTCTACAAGTAGATTTAAAATATTTAATAGATGAAACTATTAATCATTAATCAAAGTCAACCAGTAGCCTGAAAAAAATCTTCGGAGAATGTTTTAGGGAATTTGCTAGAAGGATGAGACCTATTCCCTGCCCTCAGCCCCTCACAGTCCAGGAGAAGTGATACATGCAAGTAAACAGCTGACAATCAATGTGGTAAGTATGACAGACTTAATGTACTACCACCACAGTATCAAAGAAACAAGATTTCATAAATTGTGATACTTGGTTCTCTCAAAGAATGAGTAAGAATTTGGCAATTTCAGAAAGGCTATCTCAGGGATTTGTATGCACAAAGGCTTGAAGGCATGAAACAACTTGGCATATTTGAGGAATTGCAAATGATTTGGTGTGTCTGGATTATAAAGTGGTTATAATGGAACGGTAGGAACTGAGACTGGAGAGGTGAGCAAGAGCCAGGCTGAAAGTCGTATAAGCCAGTGCAAAGAGTTTGGAGTTTGTGCTGAGAAATAATTAGGTTTGGTTTTTGCTAAGGTTTTTTTTTTTTTTTTTTTCTGACTGGAGTGAGAAAAGTGGATTGGACTGGAAGGAGGACTAAGTGCAGTGAAACAAATTCAAGACCACCTGCATTCATTCAGCAAAAAGATATCAGCTCCCACAAAGGCAATGCCCATTGAGACAGAGGAAGGGGGTCACATTCAAAATATATTGAAGATACAGAATCAGTGTGACAGTGAGGGAGCAAAGGAAAGAGAGAGGCATGCAAGATGAAGAGTTTTCCTCAGATGAGTATATGAAAGGTAGAGTCAATCTTTCAGCATGGAAAATACTTGAAAAGAAACAGCTTTGAGAGAAAAGAAAGTGTGTTAAATTTTAGCTTGAGCTTCACACCCAACTGGGGAAAACGATCTTTCCTCTTTGGGTTTGCCAGCAATATTGCTCATGCATTACTGATTAATTCTACTCCAGTACAGACCAGGGCATGCTCTTCCCAGGCTCATTTTAAGATTTTTTTTTTCAGAAAAACAATGATAGAAATTGAGCTATTAACTACCTTGGGACACACTCCACATGTGTCTTGAGAAAATATGCAGGTTTGGGAATAATACTGATATTTGTACAACCCTTTAAATTTCTTCAAGTACAGACATTTCTAAGATGTAAATCAGTGAATTCTAACATGGCACATTAATCTTTCAAATTCATGAGTCTTAGGTTTTCTTTCTACTCACACTGCCGATTACTGGTGTTTGTGGGTAATGTCTCCCACAAACCATGCCTCCTTGTATCTAATACCAGGCTTTTTTTTTTTTTTTATTACCCAGGCAGAGTCAAGAGCAAGATTTCTGAAGCCCAACTGCAGAGGTTCAGATTCCAGCTCAATCACTCATTACTTTTAAAATGAAGGAAAGTTACTTGACTCCTTAGCCTCTGTTTCCTTCATTTGTACAAGGAGAAAACAAAACTAAAGATCCTATAAGGGGCTGTGGAAAGCAAACATGTTAGAACACATAGAAAGGTCAGAACAGGACCAGCCTTCTGCTGAGCATGGAGGGCATGTTAGATCTTATCAGTACTGCATCCCTTTTTCCCTACTTCCTTCATTATTTCCATTTTGCAGTACAAATACACAGTAGTATTTGTCGACAAGGCAGGTTAGATACATAGTATTACCATGATGATGCCTTCAGTTCTTTGTTGTTTAATTAGCGTGAGGTATAAAAATTCAGAGAAGTCTTTATATTTTCCATCTGGGATATCCCATTGGGCTGGATAAGGATGAGTCAGGTTGGTGAAATATGGAATGATCACCCCACCCATCCTCCTGCTGTTCTATAAATGCCACTGACCACTGTGTTTCAGAAAGTGGCACCAGAGGAGTACATTTAGGGATTCTTACTTCTCTGTCTCTGATTCCCCAGCCCTATGAGGTGACAGCTGATTTACAACTGTCAGGTAATGTCTAGAATTCCAGACTCCCCAGGATAGAACTATTTTCAGTTAATTCTGATGTTTTAATACGTGCTTACTGTTTTTGTTCATCAGGAGGTGATTGTACAAGCTAAAAATAAAGCACCTGCCAATGAACACTGTAGTCCTATTTACTGAGAAGAGCTAACAGGAAGCAAGCAACTCGTAACACATTAACAAACATATGATCCGCCACCCTAGAGGGGAATTTCACACTCTTGAAGTAGAGAGGACCCTCTGCCATCATCAAATTTGAAGCACGACAGTTATGGCGCTGCAGCTCTCGGCAGCCAGGGCAATACTGTGGAAGGAGGTAACTGGGGTAAGGAGAATGTTCCTACAGGACTTCCACAAAAATCATCAGTGCATATTTGTAACAGGGTACCGCCAAGAGGGGGGCCCCCCAAATGGATTTGGAATGGGGTCCAGAACTCAGGGTGTCCAGGAAATATTAGAAAGACAAATAAGGTATTACCCTGCCCCACAGGTGTCAGTTGGGGGAAGGGACACATGGAGCAGGGCCATTGAGACCTGTTTTGTACAGTAAAGTCTTTGCAGCTAACCTCTGGCATGGTCATTTAACATATCTATAACC